TCACTTGTTTAAGAAGGAAATAAGCTGGAGACAGAAATCCAGGTGTAAATGGTTAAAGGAGGGAGACAGAAACACTAGGTTTTTCCATTCTGTGGCAAATGGTAAGAGAATAAAGAACTTCATCTCAAAATTGGAGGTTGAAGGTGCAGTCATATCCCAACCGGAAGAAATAGCATAGGCCTTTGTAAATCATTTTAAATCTACTTTTAGAAGGCCTTTAAATGAGAGGGTTTGGAATGGCCTACTCTTAGTGTAGAGAACAAAAAGTGGTTAGAGAAGAATTTTGATTTGGAGGAGATAAAGGAAGTAGTGTTCTCAATGAATAAGACAAGCTCCAGGCCCAGATGGCTTCATAATGGCATTTTATCAGGATTGTTGGGATATTGTGAAGTAGGATCTTGTGTCAGTTTTTGAGGAGTTTCACAGAAAGGGAATAATTAATCCAGGTTTGAACTCCACATTTATTGCTTTGGTCCCAAAGAAGAAAGAGGCTTCACAACCAAGGGGTTTTAGACCTATTAGCTTGGTAAATAGTCCGTACAAAATAATTCCAAAAGTGTTGTCTCTAAGGATAAAGAAAGTTCTTCCTACCATTATTGCACCCAACCAAGGAGCTTTTGTGAAGGGAAGGCAGATCACGGATCAAATATTGATTGCAAATGAGAGTCTGGAGAGCTTTAGGAAATCCAAGATGGAGTGATCTGCAAATTAGACTTAGAGAAGGCTTATGACCTAGTTGATTGGTCCTTCCTGGTGGAGGTGTTGAGAAGTTTTGGCTTTGGAGACAGATGGTATAAATGGATCTGGGGTTGTGTTAGGAGTTGCAACTATTCTATCTTGGTGAATGGAACTGTGATGGACTTCTTTCCTGCCTGGAGAGGAACAAGACAAGGAGATCCACTTTCTCCCTTTCTATTCACTTTGATTGCAGATGTCCTAGGGAGACTGATTCATAGAGCTGACTTAAGGAACTTAATAAAAGGATGGAGAGTAGGAGGGGAGGAATTACCACTTACACACTTGTAGTTTGCATATGACACAATCCTGTTCTGTGAAGGTGGGGACATAAATTTGGATCGGGAATTTAAAATTGGCAATACAACTCTTTGAGCAGATGTCTAATCTCAAGGTGAACTTTGATAAGAGTTGTATGGTGGGAGCGAATTTGGAGGAGAGGGAAGTAAGTGAATATGCAGATGTGTTAGGCTGTGCAATCTCGGATTGGCCTTTCAGTTACTTAGGCCTCCCCTTAGGAGATAATCCCAAAAAGGAAAGTTTTTGGAACCCAGTATTGGAGAGATTTGAGAAAAGGCTTGCTTCTTGGAGGAAAAATCATCTTTCCTTAGGGGGGAGAGTCACTTTGATTAGGTTTACCTTAGCTAACCTTCTTATTTACTTCCTGTCAGTGTTTAAAATTCCCACAAAGGTTTCTAACACTGTGGAAAAGTTAATGAGGGATTTTTTGTGGGAGCGAAGAGAGGAGAAGAAAGATCATAGGGTGAGTTGGGAGGTGGTAACTAGAGGTAAGAAACTAGGAGGTCTTGGGATTGGGAATATCAAGAAAAGAAACATGGCATTGTTGGGGAAATGGTTGTGGAGGTTTCCGCTTGAAAGGGACAAATTGTGGAACAAGATAGTGGCTAGCATACATGGGCTGGAAGACGGCGGCTGGAATCCTGGAATTATGGCAAGTGCTACAGCTGCTTCTCCTTGGAAAGCCATTAATGATCTGCTTTCAATTTTCTCCCCTTGGATCAGGTATGGTTTGAACTCGGGTAATCAAATAAAGTTTTGGGAGCAACCTTGGGTTGGGGACTTACCTTTGAAAAATGAACCCATCTCCTCTTTCTTAGTTCCTTCAGAATCTACTTATGGTTTTGGGTGGAACATGGGCCTAAGAAGGGCAATTAGGGATACAAACTTGGGTTGTATTTCGTCTTTATTAGCCATCCTTGAAAATGTTTTCTTGGACTCTAATAAGGAAGACACCAGATTTTGGACCCCTTCCTCCTTTGGTTCTTTCTCTTGTGCCTTGTTTTTTTTCAACTTATTGTTACTCTTGGGTTGTCCTTCCCTATTAAAGAGATTTGGAGCAAGCCCATTCCTCCTCGGGTTGGTAGTTTTTATTGGGAAACTTTCCTGGAAAGAATTAAGACAAATGGCTTGTTTCAGAGAAAGAGACCCAATTCTTGTTTACTTCCCAATAGGTGTACTCTTTGCAAAGTTGATGGGGAAACGGGTTACCACCTTATGGTTACTTGTCCAGTTATTAAAATTGTTTGGGAGTGGGCTTTTTCCCTTTTTGGATGTACTTGGAATCCCCCCTGTGAGTGTGCAAAGTTTGTTCTCTCCTTTGTTCTTTAGATGGCCTAAGAAAAGAGGGAAGATTATGTGGAGAAGCATTAGAGCAGAAGTATGTTAGTCCGTATGGGAAGAGAGAAACTCACGAATCTTTTCAGACAAGGAAAGAACCACAGAAAACTTATTAGAACCGATACACTCAAGGGTAGCTCACTGGCTGAAATCTATGGAGTTGTTCTCAGATTATTCTATGGCTGACTTATTGAGAAATTGGAAGAGATAGCTACCTCTGCCCAATGTAAGAGGACTCCTAGGCCCTCTTGATCCCCTCCTCCCTCTTGATTCATAAAACTGAATTTTGATGGTAGTAGCTTAAGGAATCTAGGACCTTCTGGGATTGGGGGAGTGTTCAGGGATGAGGATGGGGTTATTACTGCCATGTTCTCAGGCCCAATTGGAGAAGGTGACTCTCTTAGGGCTGAGATTTTTGCAGTTCTGGAAGGGATCCAAAGAGCAAGAGAATTAAACATCATATGCTTGGTCCTTGAAGGGGACTCGGAGGTGGTGATTAGGTGGCTGAAGGGAGATAACAGTGGTTTGTGGAGCTTCAACAATGAAAAGAAAAAATTTTAATGGCTGACTAGGGATATTGAGGTGAAGTATAGCTGGGTGAAGAGAAGTGCTAACGCAATTGCTGATGGGTTAGCCAAGCAAGAGGCATTTAGGGAATCTCCATTTTGGGCTAATTTTTAGTTTCTTTCTTTTTTTTCTTTTTGTTGTGGGGGTTGTCAAGACAGTTTACCTCCCCCTTTGTAATTAAAGTATCACAAAACTTCTTCATTAATAAAGCTTATTGTTATTGATCAAAAAATAAATAAAAAAAAACACCCAATATGGGGTGTATCTTATCAATACTGTGATCTTTGCTGTCAACACAAGACAGTCACATTTGTTGCTGTCCTTTTTTGGTGTACAATGTCTTTAGATGCATTAGTTGCACCTGCCTACTTTTAGGGCCATTGTTACCCCAGTGTGTGAAATGGCTGCCAACAGTTCAGGTGGGAACAAGTGTCTGGCACATAACCTCTAGCAATCATGGCTTGGGGACTCCATTGCAATAATAAAATAGATTATTAAAGATCAGAAAGGAACTTCAGGAATCAAATTGTTGCACTGGTAGATCTTACTTGTCCATTAGACTTTGCCTAGGAATTCTAATTGCTAATAATTTTTTCTGACTTAAACTTGGAGTATGTGATGCTAAGAGTTGTGCCAAGTTTATTCATCAAAAAAAAAAGAGTTGTGCCAAGTTTTAGAACAGTGAGATTCCTTAGTTTTGAGATATCCTGATAAATGGTAACACTGTCAGACTTCATCTCGAGTGTTGGCTGTTGCAAAGGTTGTAAGCATCCTTGTACCACAGTTTTACACCTTAGCTTCCAGAGTTTTGCCATATTACACTCTTAAGAACTGAAATGCTGGAGAATACTATATAAACAATTAGAGTCCCAAACAGGTTAAGGGGGAAAAAGGAACTACCCGAATACCATATATATACACCGATATATTTTCCTTGAGTGAAAAGAAAGATATGCCAAATATATCCACTTGGCTTTATGCTTGTTGAAGTGGACGGGGATTTCCTGGTGTCATTGGGTAATTGTGAGACAGTGTGGATCGTCCATGGAATCTGAGACATTTCATTAGGGACAATCAAGGCAAATACTCAATCAGATGGATGCCTAGGTCCACCAACCTTGTCAAACAATTTCACTATACAGGTGTTTCAAGTTCCATTTTGGACCTGATATTCTAGAGTAAACAATTGGTTTATCTTGTCCTATTTGTATGGTGTTGTTGCCCTACTGAAACTGCCTAAGTCTACTTTTTTAGGGTTATAGGAACCCATACTCTTTATTCTACTTTTTTTTTGGTTGTTGAAAAACAGAAGACAAACCAACATCCTTGTGCATTTACATGTTTGAGGCTACTGTCTCTGTAGTAGTGCCACCTTGAACCAAAGGTAATCTCAATTTATTATCTTGTGCTTAATTTATAGGATTTTGCTTGAGGGCTTCATCTATGAATATTGAAATGTAGAACATACCTAGCAAGTAACTGAAATATGGTGAATGCTTTTTTATTTGCAGTCTTCAATCCATTATGAATGACCATACTTTCTTAATGAAACCTTCCTGTTATAACAGACAATAGTGAAAATATAGCAGCTTTTTCTTTCTAGCTTTTGGCTTGTGGAATTGAAGATCCAAACTGGCTTCTTATTACTTTCTGATGAATATCTTTTAGGAGCATAATATAGCTTTTCCTTACATTTATTTGTTTATTGCTACAGCATAGGCCATGCATATATTGATGGCCGGCCATATGCTCTGCTTTGAAGTATTGATACACCCGATATGCACGAACATATGTATTGGGTGTTTCAAGACTTCATATTTTGACCAGGGGCCAGTTTAAATGTTATTTAACATTTAAAAATGCCAGATTTTGGAAAAGGTGTAAAGAAGGCATACTGGTTACCTGATATGATATGGTGCGTCCAATATGGGGCATACCCAATCGAAATTTTGAATCTTAGCCATAATTTCATATTTCATAACTTGCATAATTTTCATATTTCCATATTTCATAACTAATCCAGCTCTAATCAACTTCCTGTCACCTTTGAATTTTTGAAGTTGGCGGATCTGGTGATTGAAAACGGAGCTGATAGCTTGGGCATTCCAATGGAAGTCAAGAGAGAACTTTTGCAAAGTTTGCATGAGGCCTCTTCAGCAATCGACTCATCTGAGGACTGGGAAGGCTCCACACCTGACCGGCTAATGTTGCAGTTAGCATCCGCTTGGGGAATTGATTTGCAACAGCTTGACAAATAGAGTTCTGCAGCTGAGTGGTCTCTCAGCTTGGTGCTTGTATTTTTTTTGGTTGCTATTATGTCTATATCATTACTTGTAAATTTGGATTCACTTCATGTGTTTCATACATAATTTTAATAAGAGTGAGACAAGAAATGAAAAGGATTTTCACCAAATAACCATCGAAAATATGAAGATTCGTGCAAACCAAAAGCACCAAACAACCATTAAAAAAAAACTAGCAATGACTTCTTAGTCTCATGACAAACCCTGCAACTAAGGTTCAAAGTATCGACACATATCGGCCGATACATCTGACCGGTTCAGTGGGTAGAGGATACCTAAACTGGCCCCCTGAACCGGTTGCAAAAAAAGTTAAAAAAAAGGCTCGAAACACTATCGATTCGCTTGATATACCCATACCGGCATATCGGGCATATCAATATTTTGAACCTTGCCTGCAACCCCATCACTCTTGGACATCTAAACTCTAAAGGGTGGGGAGGACAAAACAGCACAAAAAGAGAATGCATAGCTGCTGATCTGAAAATTCAGAAATAGTTACTATATTTGGTGTGCTAATGTTTTATAAAATAGAGTGCTCAAGCTGATTCTCGTTGTAAGATAACATTACTAACTGCATATGTTAAGAGTAAGACAAGACATGCGATCTCATAAATCAATAACAAGAATTGGGTTGTCCTCCTTGGTTAAAGAAATTTAGAACAAACCCATTCTTCCTCGGGTTGGTAGTTTTTGTTGAAAATTTTTTATGGAAAAAATTAACACAATTGATTTACTTCAAAAAAAAGAGACCCAATTTTTGTTTACTTCCTAATAGGTATAGTCTATGTAAGAATGATGGAAAAATTGGTTACCACCTTATGGCTTCTTGTAAGGTTACTAAAACTGTACGAGAGTGGGTTCTCTCCCTCTTTGGGTGTTTTTGGAATCCCCCCGAAAGTGTCCAAAGTCTATTCTCTCCTATGTTTTTCAAATGGCCTAAGAAGAGAGGGAAGATTATGTGGAGGAGCATTAGGGCAGCTATGTGTTGGTCCCTGTGGGAAAAAAGAAACGAATTTTCTCAAACAATAAAAGAACCCTGGAAGATCTATAGAGACCTAATACTTCTAAGGGCTATCCACTGGCTAAAATCTATGGAGTTGTTCTCAGACTTTCCTATGGCTGACTTATTAAGAAATTGGAAAGAACCAGCTACCTCTACTTTGTGTAAGAGGACTCTTAGTTCCTCTTGGTCCCCTCCTCCCTTTGGATTTATAAAACTGAATTTCGATGACGGTAGTTTGAGGAATTCAGGGCCTTCTGGGATTGGGGGAGTATTCAGGAGTGACGAATGAAGTTTTATTACTTTGTTATGAGGCCCCATTGGAGGAGACTCTCTTAGGGCTAAGATCCTTGCAGCTCTGGAAGGAATACAAAGAGAAAGAGAACTAAATATAAAACATTTGGTCCTGGAAGGTGACTTGAAGGTAGTGATTAGTTGACTGAAGGAAGAGGATAGTGGTTTGTGGAGCTATAACAAAGAAAAAAAAATCATTTGGCCAAATAGGGACATTGAAACACAATACAGCTGGATGAAAAAGACTGCTAACTCATTTGCAGATGGACTGGCCAAGCAGGGGGTGAATAGGGAGTCTATCTTTTTGGGCTAATTTTTAACTTTCTTTCATTGTATTCTGTTGGTAGGGAGTTAAGACATTTTACCTCCCCCTATTTATCTAAATTTCACAAATCCCCACATCATCAATAAAGTTTTGTTACTGATCATATATATATATATATATATAACAGGAATAAACGTCACATATTCTAAACGCTGGTCGATGAGAATCGATCATGGGAGATTAAACCACGATGAGGATAACAGATCATGAAATGATTTTCAAACGCTACTAATAGGATGACGAAGAATTTGACAAGGTTCGCTGCAAAAAAGGATTCGCCCATCAATCCATAGGAGAGCTCCTTGGCAAATGCAAGTACAAAATGATTGTACACCACCCTAGCCCTATTCTGATGATTAGGAAAATCCTAGCTTGCATGATGCTATTGCTATGGCGAATTTGCTGGTTAGACACCCTGATCAGGTTGATATTTAATGTAGGGAACTATCTAGGTGCAGCATTTATGATGCACGAAAGCGCGAACGAGAAACAGTTGATAATGACCTTGGAACCTGGAAATATGTGTTTGTACACTTGAGAAGCAACCTTGTCATGTAAAGCAACTCATATATACATTGTGGTTCTTCCCTGTCTTCTTCAAACTGGCTAGAAGAATTACAAAATGCCATCTACGTGGCAAACTACCACATGAATTACAACATGCTGCAATTAAAGTGAATCAACCCCCAATACTACAACACCCAACTAACTCAGGACTAACACGGGCTCGAAGACAACTTTCTGTCTGATCCAATGATGCCAACACAGCAGAACGCCTTAAAATGACAGATGCAATCATGGCAATAGCAGTTGGTCTTCAACATTCCCAGCTCCATGTCACATCCTGATTCCATATCTGACCAGAAGAGGAT